AGGGGCGGGGAGGAAAGGGGGGGCTGGGGGGGCAGGAAAGGGGGGGAGGGGGGGGGGGGGCAGGAGAGGGGGGGAAGTGGCCACCGGAGGGGCCAGGAGGGCGGCGGCGGGGATGGCGGCGGTGGCGAGGCGGCGAGGGAGGCGGAGGCCGGGAGGCGGAGGCCATGGTAGGGGCGGAGCAGCGCGCGAAGAGATGGGGAGTGGGGGAGTGGGAGTGTGGGCGGTGGCGGCGGCGGCGGCGGCGGCGGCGGCGGCGGCGGGTGGCGGCACGCTTTGGCAAGCGGCGGCGGCGGCGGCGATGCGTGCGGCGTGCGGTTTGGCGGAATGGCAGCGGCGGCGGCGGCGGCGGCGGCGGCGGCGGCGGCGGCGGCGGCGGCGGCGGCGGCGGCGGCGGCGGCGAGGAGGTCGGGGAGGGAGAGGGGAGAGGCGGCGGCGGCGGCGGCGAGGAGGTCGGGGAGGGAGAGGGGAGAGGCGGCGGCGGTGCCTGCACGAGCTTGAGAATGAGAATGTCCTCGTCGGGGCTCCACGCGTCGGTCTCGCGCTTGTCGCGCTTGGCGGCGCGCTCAACCGCCCGCCTGCTCGCCGCCGCCTGCTCCTCCAGCAGCTCCTTCACCACCGTCTGCCCTGAGCTGGAGACGCTGCTTGCCGGAGACCCGTTCGCGTCAACGACGCTGAACAGAGATCCGAAGAGCGCGCTCATCTCGCCGGCGCTGCGCATGCCGCCCTCGAAGGAGAGCGTCGACGCCGACGAGCGCCCGTCATCGCTGCCCGAGTCCGCCCCATGGAAGGACGGGCGGCCGCTGTCGAGAAGGGCGCCAAGAGTGTCGCCCGACGACCACGAGGAGGACTGCGCGCCGCTCCTCCTGCGCAGCACGCCCGGCGGCGACGCGTCTGCGTCGAAAGACGCCGAGCGCTGGCCGTGCAGGCGCTTACAGCCAGCCGCCAGCGGGGCGGAGGCCGTGGCGCTAGCTGCCATCATCCACCTTACTGGCTCTTGACAGGACCCGCTGTAATTCTTTTTTCGCGAAATTCTTTTTCTTTTTATCCGAACAGAGCGCGGTGGCGCCTCGGGGCGGCGTGATGGCGGGCGCAATAAGCCAAGTTGGACATCGCGCGGACTTCCGGAGCGGGCGCGAGCTGTGTTGCCCTTGCGTGGCGGGGGGCGGGCCGCGGGTCCGGGTACTCTTTCGGGTGTACCAGAAGCTGTGCGAGGCGCCCCTCCTCTTCACCACCGGTGATGACCTGCGAGGCGCGCGGCGAGGGCGAGGGCGAGGGCGAGGGCGAGGGCGAGGGCGAGACGAGTTCGATCTAGTTCTGCGAAGGCTGCTGGGGAGCGCACGCCCGGTCATACGCATTGCGGCAGCGGTCCGAGAGCGGCGCCGAGAGCGGCGAAGCAAGGCCACGATCGGCGTAACAGAGCTGCCACTGGTGCAGCTGAGTGAGGCCTTTTATTGTCAGCTCGTGCGAGAGAGCTTCGCACCGTGCGGCAAACGCGAGGTCAAAGCGCTGCGGCGTCGGCGCGCCAACCGTCGCAAACGCCCACGCCGTGTTGCATAGGTTCTGCGCATTGAACTCGCCCAGCCGCGGCACAGCCTCCTCCGCCACAGCCGCAAACAGCGCAGGCGCCGGGATGTCAGCCGTTGCAAATGCCCACGCCGTGTTGGAGAGGTTCTGCGCATTGAACTCGCCCAGCCGCGGCACAGCCTCCTCCGCCACCGCTGCAAACAGCGCAGGCGCCGGGATGTCGGCCGTCGCAAACGCCCACGCCGTATTGGAGAGGGCCTGCTCAGCGAACTCGCCCAGCCGCGGCACAGCCTCCTCCGCCACGGCCGCAAATAGAGCCGGCGCCGGCTCGCCAGCCTTCGCATAGGCCAACACCGTGTTGGCCAGGCCCTGCTCAGTGAACTCGCCCAACCGCGGCAAAGCCTCTTCCGCAACCGCCGCAAACAGGGCAGGCGCCGGGATGTCGGCCGTCGCAAACGCCCACGCCGTACTGGAGAGGGCCTGCTCAGTGAACTCGCCCAGCCGCGGCACAGCCTCCTCCGCCACCGCTGCAAACAGCGCAGGCGCACGGATGTCAGCCTTCGCAAACGCCCACGCCGTATTGGACAGCTCCTGCTCATTGAACTCGCCCAGCCGCGGCACAGCCTCCTCCGCCACCGCTGCAAACAGCGCAGGCGCACGGATGTCAGCCTTCGCAAACGCCCACGCCGTATTGGACAGCTCCTGCTCATTGAACTCGCCCAGCCGCGGCACTGCCTCGTCCGCCACCGCCGCAAACAGCGCAGGCGCCGGCTCGCCAGCCTTCGCATAGGCCAACACCGTGTTGGCCAGGCCCTGCTCAGTGAACTCGCCCAGCCGCGGCACAGCCTCCTCCGCCACCGCTGCAAATAGAGCTGGCGCCGGCTCGTCAGCCTTCGCAAACGCCCAGACCGTGTTGGACAGGTGTTGCCCTCTGAATTCGCCCAGCCGCGGCACAGCCGCCTTGGCCAGCGCATGCCACACCTCAGGGCCCGCATCAATTCCCAGCTCGTCGACCATCACTGCGATCCCGTGCGCAATGTTGGCAATCGGCTGCGCTTTAGCGCGCGGCAGGACGGCCCGCGCCGAGTCGAGGAGTGGCCGCAGCGTGTCCGGCCGCCTGCGCAGCTCGTCGCGGAGCCAAGCGCGCTCGCGTCCGTCTCGGCGGCGAACAAGCTTGCTGATTGTGTTCCAGCACGCGCTCACATCCATTGGCTTCATTTTGGATGCATACGTCTCGTGTACATCAAGCACGTCCTGCACGCTCCGCAGCTCGCCAATGCGGGGCATGCGGCTGGAGCTGGGTTTGCTGCCGCGGCAGATAATGGCGTTGCGCCCTGGTTGACTCTGCGAGGCCAGGCTGAGTCGTCTGGGAGCCAGCAGCGCGCCAGCTGCCGAGCAGCGCAGCCCGCATGGTGCACCGGCGAGTCGCGAGTCGCGGAACCAGCAGGCGCCGAGCCGACGGCTGAACGAGTTGAGCATGACCGCACGAGTCACCGCCGAGGGTGAGCTGTCGGCGATGCGTGTTGGATCGGCGGCAAGCCGCTTCTCCACAATGGGCCAGTACAATGGAAGCCAGCCCACAGGACCGGGGGGGGTTGGCGCTGGATTGCATCCCACAACGACCCCTTCGACGGGCGCTGCGACCTCATCTTTGCTTCGTCCAAGTGCCGCGTTGCCCCTGTAGAATTTATTAATACAGCGCCCGCGATCAAGGAGCCACAGCTTGGGTCGAGGTTCTCGGGTTCTCGCAGGGTTATCTTCTTCTTTCCTTTGATTGACCGCATTGGGGTGGGTATCTAGATAGCTAGATAGCTAGCGAGAGAGAGAGAGAGAGAGAGAGAGAGAGAGAGAGAGAGAGAGAGAGAGAGAGAGAGAGAGAGAGAGAGAGAGAGAGAGAGAGAGAGAAAGAGAGAGAGAGAGAGAGAAAGAGAGAGAGAGAGAGAGACTCGCTTGCCGGCCAAAAAGGTCTTCCGCCATTCCCCGTTTCCCCCGGCTGGAGGAGTTAGTTCATTCCAAGTCCGCCAACCAGAAACGTCTGCTTTGACTATTGACTTTCGGCGGCGTTCCACGGGCCCAAACATCGAAGGCGAGCCCGGCTCCTACCTAGCGGCCCCAGCGACTGCAGCGTGGCGATGCCGTTGGGAGCGACGGTTGTCTCCTTTCTTCGCCTCCGCCCCACACATGCAGACTGCTCGCCACGCCAGAAGCACGAGGCCGGCTCGGCCACCTCTTGTGTAAACTCCTCCCAATGCAGCGGTTCAACGCCGGCGGCTAGCATGGACCTGGGCGTGTTGACTGGGATGCAACTCTTTGCCTTTGGTCGCAGCTCGATGATGTAGTCGGTTGCGGAGAGACCATCGGCCTCGTTCTCCGTCTCCATCAGCGCTGCTCGGCAGAGAGGGCCACCGCAGGATCGACGCGATGCCCTGCTGGGACGCTCAGGAGCAGAAACAATACGCAAGCCGACCGTCGCTAGGACGACGCGATGGCCGCCGAGCTTGGATCGATCGCCACGCGCACGGGCCGGCCCGCCAGTTGGTCGACTTGCCCCCTTCGGGACGTACGACTTCGTGGTTCACACCTTTGTGTATTGAGAAGAAAGTACCCTTATTAAGTTGATCAGAGACAAGAAACGCAAGTTCATTCACAGAGCCACGCGCCGGCCAGAAGGCCCGTGTGCAGGGCCCGGAGTGCGCATGTGCGTTGATGTTCTGCTCGATCGATAGCGAGAGCAGTTGCGAGTGGTTGCACGCACAGCAGACAGTCAAACAAGGATCGATTCCGGTAAATCCCGAATGTTCCGCAACTGCATTTCGTCGAACGCGTCCCGACCTCAAAGGCCACACGGCCATGGAGCAGCCCACCTCCTCTGGATTTGGAGCGGGCCGACCAAGAGTGGTGAGCGTTCCTCTCTTGGAGATAATGGCCCTCGTCGACGACATCACCGAGCGTGACGAACCGAGCGGCGTCCTGTGCAGATGGCTGAGCTGCGTCGCTCCAGCTTCTGTCGGCCGCTGCCTCGGCTCGTTGCCTGCCGCTTCCCGCCGGTCGTTCGACGCACCAGCTTGGGCGGGCTCACACAGGGTCAGTGCGCGGTAAGAGTGTGACGAGTCACATGACGCGACGACGTCCAAGGCGCAAGGGCCTCACGGTTCATCCTTGGTTCTCCTTTTTTCCGCGGGTCATACCATCGATCCTTTGATCCTCCCGCACAAACGGACAAACGTCCATGGCACTGGAACTCGACCGGGCTGTCTTATGTGTGTCTGCAACACTATAGCTTAGTATATGTGCATCGATCTCCTCAGCCGAGCGCGGTCGCGCTCGAGCTCTCTGCGCGCTCTCTATATAGATCTAAAGCCAACCGCCTCTCTTCTCCCTGGCTGCGTCCTGCGAGTGCGTGTGCGAAACGGGTCAAACGGCTTAAGAGGACTTGATGTGTGCCAACCACCTTGTAACTTGTAATCGTGTCCTGTGTCTGTATGTTCTCCCCACATATCGGCCGGAAGCCACACAAGCGTCTCCTCGCACAGAGACACGCTCTCTCCACTCTCGAGAGCGCGGCGGCGGGCTCGGCGGCGGAGGCCGTTGGCCAAAGCGGCGCGCGGCGAGGCCGAGGGGGGTGTGGCAAATCTCCCCCCTCAGAAGGGGTTGGCCCACCGCGCCAGCCGCACGAGCGGCCTCGGCACCATCGGCGGCAGCAGCCGCGGCTCGCCGACGGCAGAGGCGCGGGTGCCTATGACATAATGAGGGCTATGATAAGGCGAGGTGCGGTCTACGCCTCCCGCAAGGGGCCAGCCCGTCGCATGCGTCGAGAGTGCCTGGCGTGGGCGGCGTCGCAGTGTCGGGGAGGAGGGAGCCGGCGCGGACGAGCGCGAGGAGCGAGCGCAGCAGCGGGTCTGCGCCCGAGAAGGGGTCCTCGAGGATCGGATCCGTGTGCGACTTGCCTATGACAGGAGTGAACAAGACAAGTCTCTCTCTCACTCACACAGCAGACAGGCTCTGTGAAAGGAGTGGCCCAGATGGCTCAGGCAAGGGCATGGTGTGGATGGCTCAGGAAAGGGCATGGTGTGATGGGGTGGACTGGCAGGGAAGGAGTGCCTAGTTGCGGAGGGGTGGATCTCGAGGAGCCGAGATGAGTCGAGATCCGCCGAGATCGGGCCCGCGTGCGACCTGCCCGCGGTGTGAAAGACGCCGATGTCGGGGTGTGAATGCGGCCTCGCGCACTTGGGGAGGGTCGCGTGCCCACAACGGTAATCTCACCCGCCAAGGCAGGTGTGCACTCTGCTAGTACGTGTGTGCTCACAACCACTACACTGTGGGGGGTGCGCGAGCCATGTGCGTGTGCGCCTGTGCGTGTGTGGGACAGACGTTGTTGTCCTATGCGCGGGGCTACTTGCGGGGACCGACGACGTAACAGCAGCAGGAAGCAGCAGTGCCCACAGCGGCTGCGGGCACAGTGCAGACTGCGGTGGTGGAGCACAGCAGAGGACGTGTCTTGCCAGGTGCGTGTTGGAGGACGACGTCCGCACTCCACTTCTAGGGCGGCTTGCCAGGGTACAGCGTCAGCCGCACCTCGCGAGCACCAGCCTCGCGCAGCGCCTGCTCACAGCAGCGTGTGTGAAGAGGCGCTGCTCACACCCCTCCAGCCTGCACCAGCCTCGCCACAGCGCCTCGTCCAGAGCCCTTGAGTGGTGGCACGGCGCAGTGCGGTCGGCGCGGCCATGGTACAGCGCCATTCGAGGCCACCGGTCTGGGGGGGGCGACTGACCGGCGGCGGTAGCTGCCCTCACCAGCTGCAGAGGGGAACAGCCCGCCACGTCGCCCTCGGCCATCGCAGAAATGATGCGCGGGTCGATGCCGTTGGCGTCCAGCTCCGCCATGCACGCCTGGAGACAATACGGCCCGGAGACACTCGCATCTCTCCCCACATCTCCCCACATCTCCCGATATCTCCCCTATGCCTGCAAGCTACGGCCCGGATGCCTGCAAGTACGGCCCGGAAACACCCGCGGGGGAGATATGGGGAGATACGGGGAGATACGGGGAGATACGGGTAGATATGGGCGGGATGTGTGGACGCGTGCCTGCAAGTCATACGGCCCCGACACTCCGACCCACCACTCGATGCGACGCAGCACCTATTCGCAGCTCCTCTCTTCACAGCTCTTCTCTTCACACCGACCCGCCACTCAATGCGACGCAGCACCTCGTCGTCGGTCGCAACGGCGGCTGCAGCGCTGCTGCCCATCGACACGCGGCGGCCGCGGCCCTCCCAACCGCCCTCCCAACCGCCCTCCCCACTGCCCTCCCCACCGCCCTCCCCACCGCCCTCCTCCTCCTCCTCCTCCTCTTCGTCCGTCCGCCGCCTCATCTGGCTCGCCGCTGAGCCGATGCTGCGCCATGCTGCGCTGCCAGAGGGGCGCGGCGAGGCGCAGGACGGGGCGGCCGCCGGAGGGCCTACAGCCGAGAGACAGCCGAGATGCAGCCGAGATGCAGCCGAGATGCCGGCCGACTTCGCCTCTGCCGGAGCACCACACACGAGCTGTACGAGCAGCAGAGCGGTGAGGTGTGCGCCGGCGGACTGGCCGACCAGCGAGACGCGCCTAGCCGCAGCACGGCTGCGCGTCATGGCCAGTCCGTCCGCCGCGGCTGCGCGCTCTCCCTCGTCACGCTACGAGCGGCGGACGCGCCCGTGCACGTCGCCACCCAGCGACGCCGCGTTGGCCTGCGCCCAGCGCAGCGCGCGCTCGACGTCGGCAACCATCTCCGGCATGGTCGCTTGGGGCCAGTTGCGGTAGTCGATCGCCAGGCAGAGCACGCCGTTGCGCTGCAGCACCCACCCAAACAGGAAGGCCCACATGCGGTACCCAATCATCCACGCGCCGCCGCACACAAAAAGCACCGTCGGAAAGCCGTCCGGAGGAGGCGGGTGCACCGCGGCAACCGGCGAATAGACGTCGAGCTTGTGGCGGGAGGAGGGGCCGTACCGCACGCCGCGGCTGACGCCGGCGCCGTAGAGGTAGTGCGCCGTCGCCGGGATCCACCCGGGGATGAGCAGGGCGACAAAGAGAAGGAGCCTCACCACTCGGATCAGCACTTCATAGAAGACGCTCCGCTTTGCCCACAGCAAGAGGACAAAGGCGACTCCGGTGGAGAGCGCCGCGTCGAGCGCCTCGCCCAGACGCTCCAGCGCGTGCACGCCGCGCCGGTCGGCGGTCGCGAGGGACGCCCCGGGCCGAGGCGAAGCCATCGGCAACGGCGAGGGCGGCTCGCGAAGCGGCGATTGCGAGCCCGAGGACCGTCGCGAGTCAGCGGAGCGGAGATAAATCTCGTCGAGCTTGGGTGTACAGAGCGGCGACGGAGACTTCAGCGAAAGCGACGACATATACGCGATGCGGGTCCGAGGACGTCGACCGCTGCCTCGCTTTACGCGGCTATCCTCCGTCGCGGCCGACGCCGCTTGAGGACTTTGTCCCCGGGGGGTGGGGTGGAGAAAAAATGTATTATCCTAACGGTGTGGGGGCGCGGAGGGCTTGTTGGCGAGCCAAAATGGTGTTTTCCGAGGCGCTGCGCTAGGCTCAGAGCGAGTTCGCGCTGCGCTAGGCTCAGACGGCGAGTTCGCGCTGCGCTAGGCTCACAGATGCGAGTGCGCTGCGATAGAAGAAAAAAACAGGGTCGAAACGACAACCGAAGGGAGGACTGTGTAGTGTAATCATGTGTCAAGAATCACGTGCTGCTGCTGCTGCTGCTACTGCTGCTGCTGCGCGGCGAGCGCCGTCGCCGAGGCGGGCCTCGGCGGAGAGCGCGATTATGCGGCCTTTTCCGCGACCCGCACAAAGAAGAGGCGCCCTCCGTCAGCCTCGACCTGCCACCGGCTCGCGTCGACCGACCCGGCCGCGTGCCACACCTCCACAGCCCAGTGCGCCAGCCCGCAGAAGTTGCCCTCCTCGATGCCCCATCCCGTGGGCCACGCGGCCAAGGCGGTGCCGAGAGGCGGCGGCGGCGCCGCGGTCGCCTCGAGACGCGCCGCGACGGCGTCAAAGGCGATCCGCCTCGCGCCCGTCGCGGCCGCCTCGGCCAGCAGCGCCTCCCCGGCCAGCCGCGGGAGGTCGCCCTCCGTCTCGAACCAGCACGACGAGCGGCCGTCGGCGCACGCCTCGTCCCACGCCTTGAGCTGGCGGGCAAAGGCCGCCAAGCTCTTGAGGCCGGGCGAGGGCGCGGCGGGCGACGGGGCAAGGGAGCAGCCGGGCGAGGAGAGGTAGGAGGTGCTCGCCGGCGAGCGCTCCCGCGCCTGCGAAGGGGCAAGGCCTGAGGGCGGGCGGGCGGGCGGGCGGGCGGGCGCGGGTGGGGGGGATAAACGCTGCGCCGCCAAAGGAACCAGCGACACTGGCCGCGGCTCGTCGCCACGCGCCGGCTCGGAAGAGGGGCTGTCGGCGGCGAAGCAGAGTGGCACGCCTCGCCGCTCGAGCCGCCGACAGCCCCCCTCCTCGACGTGACGGCCGCTCCCGGAGCCGGCCGGTGCGCGCCTGACCCACGCCCCCTCTCGCACCCCTCCGACCCCCCCTGCGCGGCGCACCCGTCCGCTGTGCGCCGGCTCGAGCGCCTATTGCCAAATCGCGACGTTTGAGCGCAGCGCACGCATCCTCTGGGCGCCTGAGCGCGGCGGAATCTTGCCAGAATGTGGCCGCAGGAAGAGCCTCCGGCGGGCCTCCGGCGGACGCCTGGCGGCGTGGCGCTGCGCGCCGGCCTGCGGCCCAAAGCCCGAACGAGCGGTCAAGTTAACTTGACGCGCCGAATCCCTTGGTTGGCCCTCGCAGCTGTGATACAAAAGTGGGGACGCGCCTGGCGGCGCGCCCCCAAAAAGAAATAGCGTGTGGGATATTTCTTTTTTCTGACACGCTCTCGCTCACCACGGGATTCTCGCTCACCACGGGATTTGCGCGCACTGGCACTAACACAGGTACACCACGGGAGCCGCCTAAGCGACTCCTGCGAGGGCGGCGAGGCACTTTATAGCTCCGTGCACCCGCCCACCCCCGCCACAGGCACAAGCTCATTCACAATCTGCTCTGCGATTGCCGTGTGAAGAACGACTGAGATACGTAAAAAGAATTTTCCTCCCTGAGGAGAGGCCTGGTGTCGAGGCGTCGACGCCCCGTGTTGGCCTGCACTCAAGCTTTTCCGGCAAACAAAAAGGAAAACAGAGGGTCCCCAGCACTTTGCGTTTCCGGAAATTTCCAGGGAAAACAGAGGGTGTTTGGTGCTCCATTCTGGAAACTCGCGAGTTTCCCTGAGTCTGAGAGCTGGTCTGGGGCAAAATCTGACGCAAAATTGAGGAAATCGGCACGATACCCAGGCGGTCGCAGGGTATTTTCCAGGTATGCACGGGGTTTTCCAGGTATACCCGCAAAATACCCGGTATTTTGCCGATTTGGCTGATTTTGGGCCCAAACCAGCCTCAGACTCGGCTCAGAGCCCGGAAAATTATGGTTTCCCCGGGAAAATACAGAGGAAAAGAGAACAAAAGGCGCATCGCGGTTTCTACCACGACGCGATCTTTGTCAAGCGCAACAACTTCAACCTGCTGCTCCACGAGACGTTCGGCGGCGGCTTCTCGCCCACCGCCGTTCTCAAGCTGCGCCGCCTCGCGCGCAAAGTCGCGCGCGGCAGCGTTGACCGCACGGCCTACTCGCCCAAGTACTCGCTCTCTTTTATGTCCCACCATGCAGAGCGCATCTCTCTCTCTGTTGTGCGAGGCGTGAACCGCGCCATTCGCTCTCACCTGGCAACCCTGTCTGCACGTCTCGCGCGCGCGTGAACAGGGCTCCAGGCCCCAAATTACGTGTGAGTGTTAGAGTTGTTTGGTATTGCTAAAAATCTCTCTCAAAAGAGAGGGTGCTGTAGAGAAAAAAGGAAAGAAAAAGAGACGGGGTGCGAGAGGAAAAGCTTGTTCAGCCTAAGCCCCGTGTCGAGGGTGTCAAGCTGCTGTCGAGGGATACAGGTGTCGAGTGAGTGTGAGTGAGTATTCTTGATACGAAACCACCGACGACACACACCAGTCGACTCGCATCGGTTGCCTCCATGAACGGCGGAGCTATTCTCGCGCGCACACACACACACACACAGGTGTCGAGGAGTGGTGTCGAGGGTGTCGAGCGTGTCGAGCGTGTCGTGTTCAGGGAGGCGCAAACCTCAAGGGTAAAAACGCCGAAATTGAACAGGCCGCGGCGCGGGGTACATCTTGGACTGCCTTGCTGGAGATTGCCTCGCTTCTGCTCGTCGCGCTGCCGGCGTCTGCTTTTACGGTATTCGCTCCGCCCTGGTACAATTACTCACTCAGGCAGGCAGACCCTCACACGCGCACTCCGGCGTGCGCAGGCCGAAACTGTCGACGACATCAACCCGAACGCTCGCAGCACCACATTTGCACCCAAGCCCCCTCCCGTGCCCGACGTGGTCGACGACCCCGCCTGGCTGATCGCCACCTCCGGCTTCTGCTCGAACCTCAACGTCGTGATGATGGAGCGCGACGTCGAGGCGAGCGAGACGGAGGGCGATACCGCGGCCCACTTCATGGCCGACATCTCCTTCAACTACTACCCGCAGACGGCGGTCAAGTTCACCGATTTCCCTCACCACCTCGCAATGACCATCGAGGGCGACACGGCAGAGGCGGACGCGCTGGTCTCGAGCGCGTGGGACCACAAGAACATCGCGCTGCTCGAGCCGACGTCCATGTGCAGTCCGCAGCAGGGCGATCAGGCATGGGGCATCTCCGTCTTCAAGGTGGAGGAGCACCGCCACTGCACTGTCGGCGAGACGGCGTGGGAGGGACACCCGTGCGTGCACTACACCGGCTACGTTTCGGCGGCTACGTCCAATTTTGTCAACGTGAATGAGGGGCGGTTCGTCTGCCAGCTGTTTGTTGACGCGCTCATAGGCATGGCACTCTGAGCGCGCCATCGCGCCCGATCTCTCTCATGTATGTATGTATGTAGGAAGGTGAAGAACAGTCAGGCTCGGACTGGACACCAACGCGGTATGGGTGGACGCTGGACAGATGATGACGACACATAAACGCACATTCACACAGAGAAAGAAACACTTCTCATTGACGTGACGTTGGTGCGCGATCATGGTGCGCGAGCGGATGCTTAGCGCGAAGGCGCGTACATACATGTGTAGGGAAAAATAAATAAATAAATAAAAACGGACACCTCTCTACTGTGAGATGGGTGTAAAAAGGAACAGGTCCTGTGTGTAGGGCGCCCTAGTAGGGGAAAAGAATTTTACTAGCAAAAGAATTTTATGAAAAGCACGCGGGACTGGCGAGAACCTAGCAAAGGATCCAGGCAACCAGGTGCGTTGCGTTGTGAAGTGTGTGGCGCGCCACCTAGGTAGGTGCGGATTGGCAAGGGCGCAAGACCATGCGTGTCACACTACCTCTACCGTCCCGAATTCGCCTCTCGCAACTCTCGCATACGTCGTAAGTGGCGAGCGTCGGCTGAGGGCCGCCCAAGCCACTGCCAGTGCCGGCGGCGCGAATAGGCATGTGTGCGACGCGGCAACACAGAGCCTTGCACCCTTCGCCCTTCTCCTCACTGCCCTGGCGCCCACGCCTCGACCTTCTTGGGCAGCAGCTGGTTCGACAGGTCCTCTTCGTGTCCTAGGGAGCTGGTCTCACCCTTGCCCCAAGTGAAGACGGCTCCGTCGGCGGTGATGGCGAGGCTGTGGCTGCCTCCTGCCGACACAGCGACGACGCGCTGGCCAGCGAAGGCCTCGACCTTCTCTGGCAGCAGCTGGTCCTGATCGTCACCGTGGCCCAACCTGCCGTCGTCTCCCCAGCCCCAGCTCCAGACGCTACCGTCGCCGGTGAGGGCGAGGCTGTGGCCGACTCCAGCCGACACAGCGACGACGCGCTGCCCAGCAAAGGCCTCGACCTTCTTGGGCAGCGGCTGGCTCTGCTGGTCGCCGTGGCCCAACCGGCCAAAGTATCCATAGCCCCAGCTCCAGACAGCGCCGTCGGCGGTGAGGGCGAGGCTGTGGCGGGCTCCAGCCGACACAGCGATGGCCCGCTGCCCCGCCAACGCCTCGACCTTCTTGGGCAGCAGCTGGTCCTGCACGTCGCCGTGGCCCAGCCTGCCGAAGCCTCCATAGCCCCAGCTCCAGACGGCTCCGTCAGCGGTGATGGCGAGGTTGTGAGCCCCTCCAGCCGCCACGGCGATGGCGCGCTGGCCAGCCAAGGCCTCGACCTTCTTCGGCTGCCACTGGGCCTGATCGTCGCCGTGGCCCAACCGGCCTTCGTCTCCTGCGCCCCAGCTCCAGACACTGCCGTCGGCGGTGAGGGAGAGCACACTCACGGCGCGCTCGCATCCCAGCGGGGAAGGGAGGCGGGTCGGCGTGTTGAGCCGCGTCACCCCCTCGCCGTGCCCGAGCAGTCCTGGCATCCAGCTCTCAGCCGTTCCGCACGACGAGAGCCGCCCCTCGCCGTCGATGAAGACGCTGTGCCGAGCGCCTGCCGCCGCCCTCGCCTGCGGGTTGGCCTCGCGCAGCAGCGCAGAATAGCACAGCCACCGCACGGCGCAGCCCTCGCCCTCTGGCAGCGCCGGCAGCTCGTAGCCGCGCTCTTGCGCCCACAAGCAGATGCCCTCTACCGCGAGAGAGGCGTGGAAGAGAAGCGAGACGGCCGCAACGCGAGCGATGTCGAGGGGGCCGTCGAGGCGAGAGATGGCGCGCAGGAGGAGCTCCCTGGGGAGGTCGAGGAGGCGGGTGGGCGGCAGCGTGTCTGCCGAGGGCGCGGCGGCGGCGGCCGTGGCGAGGCGGCGCGAGCGGCGGCGCGGCGCTTGGACATCGCGAGAAAAAGAATTCTTGCTCTAAGCCAGGCGCTGGGCGTCACCTCGGATTGGGCGAGGCAATCGACAAGCTGGCCCCACTGGCGAGTGAATGGTGCTCACCCGACGGCAAACGCTCGGACTGCTGGCGCCGCTCGTCGCTTCCTCCGGCACTCTGCCTGGGCTGAAGTCCGCGACTGCCGCCTCGACCCCATCGGCACTGCCTTTCATCGGCCTGGGGACCTGCTGTGACGACGCCGACACTGCCGAGCGGTTGGTGCTGGCTGGTCTCGAGGCGGGCTATCGGCTGATCGATACCGCGGCTCACTACGACTCGGAGCCAGCCGTCGGCGCTGCGCTCGCCGCCGCCGTCGACCGAGGCGTGCTTCGCCGCTCCTCCGAGGTGACGGTGTGCACGAAGGTGTGGTTTTCCGACATGGGCTACGACGCCGCGATCGCCTCTGCGCGCCGCAGCCTGGAGCGGCTGCGCGAGGAGCGGCTCGGCCTCCTGCTCATCCACTTCCCGGGCTCTCCCGACGCCGTGCAGGACCCAAAGCGGAACCGCGCGCTGCGCGCCTCGACCTGGCGCGCGCTCGAGGACCTGCAGCGCGACGGGCTCGTGCGCGACATCGGAGTCTCCAACTGGAGCCGGCGCCACCTGCGCGAGATGCTGGCCACGTGCCGCACGCCACCGGCGGTCCTTCAGACCGAGCTGCACCCGCGCTGCCAGCAGCCGGAGCTGCGGGAGGACTGCGACGCCGCGGGGATCAAGGTCCTCGCGCACTGCCCGCTGGCGCACGGCGCTGCGTCGCTGCTCCGCGATCCGACGCTGTGTGCGGTCGCGGATCGGGTCGGCAGGAGCCCGGCGCAGGTTGCGCTGCGGTGGAGCGTGCAGAGCGGCGTGGTGCCGCTGCCGCACGGGTCGTCGGCGGCGCGGCTGCGCGAGAACCTGGCGGCGGCGGCAGACGACTTCGAGCTCGACGCCGCGGCGATGGCCAGCCTCGCGTCCCTCGACGCCGAGGAGCGGCAGGCATTCAACCCGGCGCTGATCGCGTGACGGAGGCCCCGCCCGCGAGATTTTGTGTTTGTCGGCGCGCGATTTCTTTTCCTTGTGACTCCGTTTCTTCCTATGTTCTTTTTCTGCGGTGTACCTGTGTTAGTGCCAGTGCGCGCCACAAAGAAAGAAAGAAAACAGACAACCCAAGGGAGGGATGGGAGGACGGTACGCCGAGAGCCCAACTTGAGAATCGTGCTTTTTGGTTAGAGGGACCAAAGCGCGAAGGACTACTTATGGGTTAGGGACCGCGAGCGACAGGTTAGGGACCGATCGCCACCGCTCACGCCAGCGGACGGCCACCATCGGTGTTGCTGTGCGGACGGCTTCTTGTGGCTCTCGTCGAGAGCGTTTTGCGTCCCGGCGGGTGGGAGAATATGTGTCGTCTGATGTGTCACTGTGTACGTCATGTCAGTCTTGATAATAAGTACGGTCGATCCGTCAAGCGATACACTCGTCACGATCACGTTGAACGGCTTGCACGGAGCTCTGTGCCGGCACACAGGAAGAGCCGACGGCAAGAAGAGCTCGATGGGGAGCGAGAATCGCCAAAGGTGCTCACGGAGGTGTCGGAAGTCCGCCTTGATGCGGTCAGTTCCCCCCAGGTTTGACTGCGTAGGTCGCGGAACTCGTTGAGTACTCGTAGCCTTTCTGCGCCTCCGTCTGCATGGTTACTTCCCCCAGGATTGGTCTCTTCTCTGCATGCGGGAACACCCTCGGGCGGCCGGGTGGGGCTGTGGCTGGAGCTAGCATGGCTCGATAGAGCCGAGACCCCGTGTTGAGGCGGCGCTCCTGTGGGCGGCTGTGGAATCGGGAGATATTCGAGGCCCTTGAGGACGGTGGCGGACGTGCAGCGGCTCCTCGGTTGCCAGTATGCTCGGCCCACGGACCTCGTCGCCTTCGAGTTCTCGGGGGCAATGCGCTCTGCCCTCGAGAAGCGCGGCAGAATCGCACTCTCGGTCGACCTACGAGAATCCGCTACCGGAGGCATGCATGCGTGCCTGGACGTGCGGCTCGTCGCGCCTTTGCAGACGTGGTCTAGGGCCTACCTCTTCCCGCCGTGCTTCCAACAGCTGCGTCAGGACACCGACTGCCTCCCCCTCAAGATGGCCGATGGACGGGCCTTCTGCGGCAGAATCTGGCTGACTACCCTGACCGTCATTTGGTGGCCAACCTGATGGACGGAGTGCGTCTCGAGGCAGACGTGGAACTGCACACCGTCTTGGCCTCGCTACGGCGCTCCACGCCGCGGGAGTCCCAGATGCCGTCATCATGCTAATGTGCCGCTGGATGTGCGAAGCGTCACTACACGTCTACCGCCGATCGGGTGCCGTCGCTCACGAAGCGAACTTTTGGGCAGCCACACGTGCAGACGTCAGCAACATCCAGGCCGCCAATGTTCCAAACGTAGTCATGGACCAGGGGATGGCAGACGTGGCCGACTTCTGCTCGAGGCAGTGCGCCGCGGATAGGGCGGCGTACGCGGAAGCACAGGGCGCCGCGCCTCGCGGGGCGAGCGGCGCGGCCACCCGCGGGGCAGGCAGTGCGGCAAGCGTGCCACCAGCTCGCGAGGCAGCGCCGAGCTCGCCCATCGACGCCCGACCGATCACCGCCGAAAACGCCACAGGGCGACCGGTCCTCGTCGCAAGCGTCCTCTGGCCACAGTACGCGTGCAAAGAGTTTGGCGGAGCTGGTTGGGCGGCGACCGTGTTGCGATGCTCCAAACACACCGCAATCGTACGGTTCACGATTGCCACGACGCGCGATGGCCGACCATACGAGGACGCGCGCGTCCCGCTCGACCAACTGCGGCCGCTGCCTTCGCAACAACTGACCGCATAAGGCGCGCTTCAGATGGTGAAACCCATCATAATCAACGCAGGGTGGAACCCGATACAATCACCGCAGGGTGGAACCCGATACAATCACCGCAGGGTGGAACCCGATATAATCACCGCAGGGTGGAACCCGTCATAATCACCGCAGGGTGGAACCCGATATAATCACCGCAGGGTGGAACCCGTTATAATCACCGCAGGGTGGAACCCGATATAATCACCGCAGGGTGGAACCCGATATAATCACCGCAGGGTGGAACCCGATATAATCACCGCAGGGTGGAACCCGATATAATCACCGCAGGGTGGAACCCGATATAATCACCGCAGGGTGGAACCCGATATAATCACCGCAGGGTGGAACCCGATATAATCACCACCATGCTACCCGGCTTGCGAGTAGGGAGGAGGAGGCTGCGCTGCGCAAGCACGGGCGGGAGGGGCTTCTCCTGCGGAGTCGTGCGTGCGCAGGGCTCCTCTTTGCTTTCTTCTACTCCCTACTATCATCTCGTTCCCGTCCTACCAGAGAAGGTTACTTCCCCCAGGATTGGTCGGCTGCTCTGGGCAAGAGCAGTCTTTTCGGAAGATATCGAGGATTTTCGAGAGCCACCCGCTTGAGAGCGATTGAGCGCGTCACGGAGGACTCAGGTTACCCCTGAACCTCCTCTGACGGTTCTCGCTCCCCATCGAGCTCTTCTTGCCGTCGGCTCTTCCTGTGTGTGCCGTCACAGAGCTCCGTGCAAGCCGTCCAGCGTGACGTGACGAGTATATCGCTTTGACGGATCGACCGTACTTGTTATCAAGACGGACATGACGTACACAGTGACACATCAAACGACACATGTTCTCCCACCCGCCGGGCCACAAAACGCTCTCGACGAGAGCCACAAGAAGCCGTCCGCACAGCAAGCCGCTCGGTCGATCACGTTGCTCGCTCGATGCCGGCGAGCGCATGTCGCACGAGGTAGACGGTGGCGTAGCTAACATCACTGACGACGACCGTCCGCTGGCGTGAGCGGCGGCGATCGGTCCCTAACCTGCGGTCCTTCACCGCAATCGGTCCTTCGCCTTCGTCCCGCTAACCCAAAAAAAGAAAGAAGAAAGAAAACACACAACCCAAGGGAGGGATGGGAGAACGGCACGCCGCCACCACACAAAAAAGAGGAGAAAAAGAAAGAAAGAAAGAAAACAGACAACCCAAGGGAGGGATGGGAGGACGGCACGCCGCCACCACACAGGGATTTTAAGGAGAGGTGTGTGGTGCGCTATCCGTCGCCCACCCTAGGGAGTCTGCCTCTTCCTATCTCTCTTCGCAGTCTCTCGCCGATTCTCGCTGCAACCTTCATGCCACCTCGCGGTCGTCCCACCCTCGTCGTTCTCTCTCCTGTCGCTTCATCCTCTGTCGCGTCGTTCTCTTCTGCCTCGTCCTGCGACGCCGCCGCCTGCCGGTCCCTTGTTCTCGCGGCTTCTTTCGCCTTTCGGCGCAACTCCATCCTCCTCAAAAAAGAGGAGGTCCCGTGCCCGGCGCGCATCCAAATTCTTTTTTCTGGAGCACGCCTCGCCCCCTCCCCTCTCAGGCGCCCGACTCCCACCGCCGCCGCCCTCATCGCCGCCGCCCTCACCCCCGCCTCCGCCGTGTCTGCCGCCGCTCTCGCCCTCGCCACCAGCCGCCCCTCCACCGTCACCGCCCCCACCCTCCCCGCAGAGAGCGCTGCATGGGCGACCGCTACGACGACAGGTCCCGTTACCGCAGCCGCAGCCGCAGCCGCGGACGCGACCGGCGCCGCAGCCGCTCCCGCAGCCGCGATCGGCGCGACCGGAGCCGCGACCGCGGCGACCGCGGCGACCGCGGCGACCGCGGCGACCGCGGCGACCGCCGCGAGTATGAGCACGACGAGTACCGCGAGTCCCGGCCGCCGCAGTATGGCCGCGGCGCCGGGCTGGGCTACAGCGGCCCGCCTCCCGACCGCGGCGGCAGCTATGGCGGCGGAGGGCGCGGCGGCGGCTTCGTGAGCGAGGGAGGCGGCGCGTACGGAGGCCTCGAGCCCGCGTGTGGTCCGAGCGGCCCGCCGCCGCCAGTGCCGATCGGGCATGGGGCCCTAGAGGCTGAAGACGGACTCATGTCTCCCAAACTGGCACTCGAGCGGACACGCACTCCACAGTACTCGGCCGTACCCCGCCGCATCTCACTGCATTCGCACCCCTCTCTGAAGTCGCCGCATCATACCGTCTTCTCGAGATTACCCGAGATTACCCGAGATTACCCGAGATTACCCCTCTGAAGTCGCCGCATCATACCGTCTTCTCGCCGTCTTGAGGGTGGCGTAGCCACGCAAACACACAACCGCGGACCCAAGACGCACAAGGACAGACAGTCGAGATGGGAGAGGCAGCAACGGCAGTCAGAAGCCACGACGTGGGCATGGGTCGGCGTATTCACACAACAGCACAATCGGGCCCGAAACCGCACGACAGCACGGTTCCAGTTAGACACGCAATAGGGGAAGTCACGGACGGCGAGCAACAAGCGTATCGCGCGCGCTAGACGCCGGCTCGGAGGCCGCACCGGTATTCACACCGCAGGCTCACCGTTGCTACCGCACCGCCCACGGGACCGAACCCACACTGGGTTCGATACTCTTGGAGGTATGGGACTTCACACCGCTAGGCACGGCTCCGGCCTCGGCCCTGCGGCGGCGACGACGGACGAGATCATCGTGCTCATCGAGAAGAGGAACAACGCCAAGAACATGCAGGACTTTGGCGCCGCGGACGCGCTGCGTGTGCAGCTGGAGGCGATTGGCGTGGCGCTGGGCGGCGACCGCGGGCGAAATTAATAATTAATGGATGAACAACAACGGGTAATCAGGCGATTGGCGTGACGCTGGACGACCGCGGGCGGGCCTCCCCTACCCCCACGGTGACCCTACCCATCCCCCACCCCCACGGTACCCGAACCCTAGGCGCATCTGGTCGACGCTCGACGGCCGCTCGGGCAAATACGACGGCGCCGGCGGCGCGAGCCGCGGCGACAAGACACTCGAGGACGGGTCGCTCTCTCGTGCGACCCATCCCCTACCCCCACGCTACCCGAACCCTAGGCGACAAGACGCTCGAGGACGGGTCCCTCTCGTGCGACCCATCCCCTACCCCCACGCTACCCGAACCCTAGGCGACAAGACGCTCGAGGACGGGTCGCTCTCGTGAGACCCACCCCCTACCCCCACGCTACCCGAACCCTAGGCGACAAGACGCTCGAGGACGGGTCGCTCTCGTGGGAGAACACGATCTACGTGCAGGGCTTGCCTGCCTCGGCCCGCATACACGAGATAGCAGAGTTCTTCGGCGGCATCGGGCCCATCAAAAAGTCGAAAAAGTCGCACAACCAGGGCGAGCCGACGGCCAGCCGGGCCGGAGGAGGGGCGGTCGACTCGGGGGAACCACGCGCTCTTTGCTTCTTCGTAGGTGCACGGCCATCCTAGAAGCTGAATTTGTATTCTTGTACTCCGACTAGCGCTCGAGAGGACAATTTTCGGCCGTATTCGGCCGTATTCAGCCGTATTCGGCCGTATTCGGCTGTACTCAGCCGTGTGCGGTTGTATTCCCTGTAGCCGCCGCCGTATTCCCGCGGTGCTCTGACGATGTTGGTGTATTCAGCACGTGCATGGCCAGTAGTCTGTCTCTGGCTCACACAGCAATGGCGTGTGTAGCTGCTCCGGCGTTCACCCCACACGGCGGCAACCTCAGCCAATCATGACTAATCATCAGTTGTTAATCATCAGTTATTAATCACCAACCCATTGTTCATGGGCCCACCAGGCGAGCCGACGATTCACCTGTACAAGGACAAGCGGACGGGGCAGCCAAAGGGGGACGGCACCATCTCGTCGCCACCCTCCCCTGCCCCCACGGTACCCGAACCGACCCTCCCCTACCCCCACGGTACCCGAACCCGCAGGCACCATCTCGTATGAGGAGCCGTCGACGGCGCGCGCGGCCATCGACTGGTCCGGCGGCAAGCCCTTTGGCCACGATTGTGATCAATTCATACGTCACGCATTCCTTGCTGATCTAATTAGGTTCGGCGGCACGCCTTTCGGCCCGTCATGAGTGGTTCATATTCATGCATTACTTGCTTGGGTTGTAGGTTCAGCGGCAAGCCCTTCGGCCCTCCCGGCGCGGAACCCGCCTCTGCACAACATGCCTCCCCACAACCTCCTCAAACCCGACCTATTTCTTTACCCACAATCCCCTGAAAGCTTTCCCCACTCAAACCCCCCACTCCACACACACGCACACACACACACACGCACACACACACACACGCACACACACACACACGCACGCACACACACACACACACACACACGCACACACACACACACGCACACACAGACACAGAGAGAGAGAGAGAGAGAGAGAGAGAGAGGGGTACCCAACCCCAGCCCACCCTCCCCCGCCACATTCTCGGACCCCCCGGCCGCAGGCGCCTACCCGACCTCGAGCCTCACCGTCACGATCGCCACGAGGCCCGACCGCCACACCGCTTCGAAGTTCGCGTTTTTTCTTTTTGCACGCCTATTTCTTCTTTCTAAACAGGCCGGGCCGCCAACCGCTTCGAAGCAGTTTTTTTTCGTTTTCCCAGCCATATTTCTTTCTTTCTAATAGGCCGGACGCCAACCGCTTCGGGAAGGGCGGCGGCGGCGGCGGCGGGCGGCGCTGGTGAGGCGCCGCGGTGTCTTACGCTGTTGGTGAGATCTCCCCATCTCTCCCCACATCTTCCCATCTCTCCGCGTATCTCCCCATAGCTCCTCACATCTCCCCATAGCTCCCCGCATCTCCCCGCATCTCGGCTCGCTAGATGTGGAGCGCCGAGCTCATATCTCCCCATATCTCCCCATGCTAGCAGCTGAGCATTCGTGTGACGGACTACGAGTATTTGTGTGACGGCATATCGGTACCCCTGGGCGTTCAATACCGCTCGCTCGTCCTCATATAGGCGCAGTGCTATCGCTGGTGGGAGGCGCCGCCGCCGTATCCGTCGCCACGCCACCACCGGTCGCCTCTGGCTTGCCTGCCGACATCTCCGGCGCCGCCGATGCCGCCGCCGCCGCTGCCGCCGCCGCCGCTGCCGCTGCTGGTCGGTTTGGTTGTTGGCGGTCGCTGGTGGTTGCGCGGTGACGCGCTCGGCAAGGGCGCCGGGCGACGCTCCTCGTCTTCGCGCGCCGTCTGCCTCTCTCCGCCTCGGCGTCGTAATGGAGAGGCGCTGCAGGCGCGGGTGCGTGTGGGGAGCGTAGGGGGCAAGGGGGGGTGGGGCAGGGTGGAGGGGGGGTGGGGGGGGGGTCGAGAGTCGAGCGAGCGGCCGAGCGGCTGGTAGAGCGAGGTTCATGAATGCGCGGCCGGTGCGGCGGGGAGCCACACGCAGCGATGCTATAGTCGGCAGCGGCGGTGGGCAGGAGCCAGGAGGATACCTCATAGTTTTAAACACTTACGGCCCTTTTTATCGGGACATTTTTTTCAGTGTGCGTGTGTGTACGGCACACATGTCCCCGAGTGACTGGGGAGGCGTTTGGTGTTGCTAAAAATCTCGAAGATAGAGAAAGAAAAATAAAACGTAAACCCCAAAAGAGCCAGCTGCTGCGTTTACTGCTTTATTTTTTCTTGAAAGACACCTCGCAACGACGAAAGCTGTGCCTCGAAGACGCGCGCGAAGAAGGGAGCAGACAACTGTGGAAAACCATAACCCACCGGTGCCACCCCAAGCGGATAGGCCGATGACTTTTAAAGGACTTGTCCTTTTTACAAAAGGACACCTTGATCTCGCGTTTTCGCTCCCATTGAGCTCTCTGCAAGCCTCTCCTGGGCATTGAGGTATGCTACCATGTCCACCTGACAGCCTCCAGGCGGCGGGGTCACGACCCAGCCCAAGCAACACATTCAAAACCGACCCGGAGACGTACCCGCAACCGCTTGTCCTTTACGCCCGCTAGTCCTCATCACTGTCTACAATCACCTGCCGCTTGCGTAGGGGGGGGGGCTGCAGCCTGGGAGGAGGGCGCTGCAGGCCGCTTGGCACCTTTGGACACGCGCCCAAGCACTCCCTTCACCGTCTTCTTCACTATGAGCCCGCCCGGTTTTGAGCGTGCGTCCCAGTCGCTGCAGCGGCTCTGTCAGCGGACCAATCTTGCGGTAGCGGCGATCAACTGCTGCTGCTTGGCGTTGCGCCTTCGGGGAAGGATGTGGTCCTCCTCTGTCAGCTGGCTGTTGGTGGTGAAGATGCGTGGCATGTACTGCGGGAGGGTGCCATTGTTGTAGCGAGCGGCATTTGATGCGCTCGCTTGGCGGTGAGCTGGCTCAGCACGTCTT